GTCAGCGACTGTGGGAAAGGCAGCAAGGTCAGGGAAGAGGTACGGTAGCATGAGGCGGCTCAGTGCAGCAGTGGCAGGGGAAGAGTAGCGCGCAACTACAGCATCGTACAAGGTCTGAGCACTCTTGTACTGACTAAAGTGCGCGCGCTCAGAGGTAGGCAGGTGGCGACACACAGCAAGACGTGCAGCAGCATCGCGTGTGGCCCACTCGGAGCGAACAGTGGGGTCAGCATCAGTAGCAGGGGCAGGAGAGGCGCCAGAGGTGAGGTCAAAGAGGGAGAGACCGTCTGCCCTATCGCACTGTAGGAAGAGCTGCAGGTCATCTACCCAAACCTCAAAGTCAATGGCCCGACCCTCAGCGTCAAAAGCGAGAACACTGGGGGTAGCTATGACAGCAGTAGTCTAGCAGGACCAACTATAGGATAGGGGCAGTGCAGTGACAGAAGCTCTGCTCTCACCGGACAGGGTGGGTCGGGCAGCTCAGTAGTGCAGTAACACGGCAACACGGCTGCTCGGACGGCACAGCAGCGACTGCGGCTCCGCGGCACCGGCGGCTCGGCTGATCAGGCGGCTCGGGCGGCTCGGGCGGCTCGGGCGGCTCGGGCGGCTCGGGCTGGTCGGGCGGCTCGGGCGGCTCGAGCTGGTCGGGCGGCTCGGGCGGCTCAGGAGAGTCGGGCGGCTCGGGCGGCTCGGGCTGGTCGGGCGGCTCAGGCGGCTCAGGAGAGTCGGGCGGCTCGGGCGGCTCGGGCAGCTCGGGCAGCTCGGGTGGCGCGGGCGGTGTAGGGCGGCAGTGCCGCTGGTGAAAGGGATGGCGGGGCCGCTGAGGAGGGCGGCGGGGCCGCAGTAGAAGGGCGGCGGGGCCGCTGAGTAGGGCGGCGGGGCCGCTGAGAAGGGCGGCGGGGCCGCAGTAGAAGGGCGGCGGGGCCGCTGAGTAGGGCGGCGGGGCCACAGGAGAAGGGTGGCGGGGCCGCTGATTAGGGCGGCGGGGCCGCTGAGTAGGGCGGCGGGGCCGCAGGAGTAGGGCGGCGGGGCCGCTGAATAGGGCAGCGGGGCCGCCGGAGAAGAGCGGCGGGGCCGCGGATTAGGGCGGCGGGGCCGTTGCAGAAGGGCGGCGAGGCCGCGGAGTAGGACGGCGAGGCCGCTGAGTAGAAGGGCGGCGGGGCCGCTGAGTAGGGCGGCGGGGCCGCGGAGTAGGGTGTCAGAATATTATCTTATGTTCTAGCCTGTAGTGGGGTGCTCTATAGCGAGTACAACCCTTCTAGGGTTTGCTATTTGTATCCTCATTCTTGCTAGTTCAATCCTCTTTTCTTTCTTCAAACTTTGTCATGCTATCAGAGCAGGTCGATCCCCTTGGATCGATCCTGTGGGTGGGTTACCACCTCGCTTCCGCTGCTACTTTTTCCTCCCGCCGTGCGCCCCGAGGCGCGCGGCGGTTTTCTGCCCGCCGTGCGCCCCGAGGCGCGCGGCGGTTCTCTGCCCGCTGTGCGCCCCGAGGCGCGCGGCGGGCGTCTGCCTCGCGGCGTTCGCCGCGTCCCGCTCTGGAGGCGTCGCGACGGGTGACGGGGACCCGTCGCGGCCCCGCCGCCCTACTCCGGTCGCGGCCCCGCCACCTTCGGTCGCGGCCCCGCCACAGACCTGTCGCGGCCCCGCCACCTCCGGTCGCGGCCCTGCCGCCTCGCGTCGCGGCCCAGCTGCCTTCGGTCGCGGCCCCGCCAACTCCGGTCGCGGCCCCGCCAACTCCGGTCGCGGCCCCGCCAATTCCGGTCGCGGCCCCGCCAACTCCGGTCGTGGCCCCGCCACCGACCCGTCGCGGCCCCGCCACCGACCCGTCGCGGCCCCGCCGCCCCACTTCGTGGCCCCGCCGCCCCACTTCGCGGCCCCCCCCCCCCCCCCCCCCCTCCTCCCCCCCCCCATTTCCCGTCGCCCGTCGCGGCTCCTTCGGGGGCAGCAAGCGGCCCCCTCAGGTCGCCACGACAGACGACGGGAGGGACGAGCTGTGGGGTGGCGGGTATGGGGGTGGCCGGTGTGCTTTCCTCCCTTTGCTCCTCCTCCTCCTTCGTCTCCCACTGCTGCAGCTGTCGCTGAGGGGGGTGGTTGTGTGGGAGACTGGGGTTTAGGGTTTAAGGGGGGTGCGTGGGAGTGGAGCTAGCGGTGTAGCAGCGGGTGTGTATCAGGGGGGTGGGACTGTGTGCGGGAGGATGAGCGGAGGTTGCCAGTTTGTCGTCAGCAGCACCTGTAGTCCGGGGCGCTGTCCCGGTAGCCCAGTGAGCTAGACTTCTACGCCAGCCGCCCGTGGGTCCGTTGCCCGTCTGCCGCTACTTGAGCCGCGGGGCCTGTTACTCCTGTAGTCCGGGCGCTGTCCGGTAGCCGCTGTGCCAGTCTGCCTCCTGTTGCCCGTGTGTCTGCAGCTTCAGCCGTCGCCTCCTATCTCCTCTCCCCTCACTCTCTCTCCTCCTCCTCACTTGCCCGTTGTGACTACCACTAGCTTTGCTCATAATTATGAACTCTAAACTATTACTTCTTAAACTTGTGCTCAGAATGTGTGGTGACATTGTGATCCACCCTGAGCTTGTACTGCTTTGCCTGCTCTGCTGATTACACCCCACTTTGGCTATGGGGGTGTGTCAGAATATTATCTTATGTTCTAGCCTGTAGTGGGGTGCTCTATAGCGAGTACAACCCTTCTAGGGTTTGCTATTTGTATCCTCATTCTTGCTAGTTCAATCCTCTTTTCTTTCTTCAAACTTTGTCATAGGGCGGCGGGGCCGAAGTGTGGGGCGACGGGGCCGCCGAGAGGGGCGGGGCCGCAATGCGGGGCGACGGGGCCGCTGAGAAGGGCGGCGGGGCCGCTGAGACGGGCAGCGGGACCGCACGAAAGGGCGGCGGGGCCGAAGCGACGGGCGGCGGGGCCGCTAGGGGAAGGGGCCACTAGGGCGTAGGGGCCGCTAGGGCGGCTCGACGAGGTGAGAGCCCGAAGCGCGACTCGGGCGGAGCGCGCTTCGGGCAGGAAAAAAAGTCGATGTGGTGGGCCCTAGGCACAGTTCCCACGGGGGAACCTGCTCTGATACCATGAAGAAAGTAGAACGAGAATGAATTACTAAGGAATGGAAGTGATACAAATATGCAACCCTAGAAATGTGTACCCCATATGGACTACCCCACTATAGCCTACACAATATTATAATTTGACAAACTGCCGCATAAAAACAGCGCTGAGATTAACGGAAACGATGAAATTTACTCACGCAATTAAATGCGACGACAGCAAAAGCTTTCCGTCACCCGGGGGGAGGGAGGCCACGGTCCATCTCGACTGTCGAGGGCAAGGATCCGTCGGTGCAGCAGGAGCGCCCGTAAAAACATGGTCGCTAGGAGCAACTATCCGTTCTCCTGGCCGGCTACTGCGCTGCTCCTATCACCACGGCATCCTTCCCTGTCCCCCCTCCGAGGGGTAATACACTCTAAAAAACGGGGAACCTAGGACCTTAGGCTCTGATACCAAGTGTTATGAGTTGTACTAAGAAGAGTGCGCGGAAGACTTTATAAAAAGGATGAGAACTACCGAATTACCGAATGATAAAGAAGCAAGCATTTATAAGGTCGAAACCGTGGTAGGTGAGGACCTCGGGACGTGGATGGGTTGGAAGTGTCGCGATTGGTGCGGGGCGACTCGGAAGTGGTTCGGGCCGAAGTGTAGGCCGAACCCAAACTGACGCGAACAGTTCGGGCTGTCATCGCTAGGAGTAGCCTGTACAGTAATGAATTCACATTCATTGTGGAACCTGATTATCTATCGTGGTTCTCATTTTTGCCCTACATTGATGGGTACGGAATGTAAGCAACGCCATTTCGTAAACAGTATTCCATTAGCGTATTTTATGAGCACGTGTGTTACGGGTGCAATGGATCGAGGTAGCGAGGATTGCACTGAAGTGTCAAATGAGTACAAAGATGTGAGCGAAGGCATGAGCGAACATTTGTACACGAAACATGCAAAAGGTAACGCGGGGCGTGCGAGCTAGCTAGTGCTACGCTGACAGCGAGGCTCGGGCTAGTCCCGAAGCGTAGGCCGACACGGCCGGGCCAGCAGTGTGAGGTTTGGCAAAACAGTGCGCGCGAGGTTGGCGAAGTCCCGTTAGCAGTAACGGGCGAACAACGGCTGTTGCTGTACGCGATGTAGTCGGGCTCCGTAAGGAATGCCGGGAAAATTCCTTACAACGTGGATCAACTAAGACGTCAGAAAAGTCAAACTAATGTATATAAATAGTTTATACGTTGTCCGGATTGCACCAAACCACCCGCTGCGATTTTGCCAAAAGGGCTCCACTGTACCATCCTGGTGTTCGTAACAAATAGCTGCGGTGTCCTTCTGGAATGTCCCAAGATTCCCTCGGCACAGTCACATCCCAACAAACACGTCACATCCATCCGCATTCCCAGGAAAACCGCGCAAACCCCTGTGTGGCAAACAACCTCCGCCAACGCAACCAAACCAACACCAGACCAGAGGGTTTCTGCGGAAGCACCAATGGTTCCGCTTTCTGGTTCCTTTTTTAACGAGTGAAACCCTTCTCCCTCCTCTCCTCACCTCTTGTTCCTATCGTTCCCTCCAGCACCATTTTTTCATCATGCAACCCTAGATCCAGGCTTGTTTGCTTGAAGGACAATTAACAGCTCCATCCACCTAGTGTGAACGAAAAGAGCAGTTTCCGCTTGGTTTCGTTGACGTTCTTGGGTGGATCTACGCTTTGCGCGAGCTAATTGCTGATTGACAATCCAGGATGACATGATCTGGATCTAACTAACTTGAAAAGGTTCAAGTAAAGGAGTCTCGCAAACTGTGCTTACGCGTTTGAGGGAAGATTTAACAAACATGTCGAATCCAATGGTCTCGTCCGCATCGCAAGCGTTTCATAATCCGCCAACGCTCACTGATCCGAATTATGCACAGCCCCCTCCTGCCAAGCGTGTTAGAGTGAGGCGCGTAACTTGGGCATCAGATGATCGACTTCGAGAGGTTTGTCTTCGTCCTGGCGTTGTTTCTTGAGTATTCTATACGAGTTATTGTTCGTCTATGCTATCCGAGCCTTTTAATCTCAGATCTCGTGAACAAAGCGATTTAATAAACTTTAACGTGCAATTACTGCTAACTAGGCTCGTCTTGCAGTTTGGGCTTGAAAATTTTGTCCCCTTGCCCGTTTCTTGCTTCCACGGAAAACAACGTAAGGATGCTTGATACATATAATCTGTTCTGATCTCCTAGATCTACTACAATACTGTCTCGTCGTGCATTGATGCATCCGCCGTTTGCCGTCACTTTTAATCATGATGCGTGGTATATATATATATATTTTCCAAATACCTTTCAGATACCAATTTTCTGCAAGTTCTCGTTGTTCATCGAGTTACCGGATATTAAGTTTTGTGTTCCGAACCAGATCCGTCCGTGTTTCCCGGCGTTGTAGCAAGCAAGTTGTTGTTTCTCCGCGCTGTCTTGACCAGGTCCGTCTGTTCAACACAGAAGATGCCCCGTGTATGGCCATATCTACAGGCCTTGGGGGTGCCCCCCCAGCTCCATCCACTAGTTTCCGGTCTTCCATGGACGGCCCTCCGGGTTTTAGCCGACCTAAGAAAGTCCGGTGCGACTCCGCGGCAGTGGCGGCGATGGTGACTCAAACTCCCTGGAAATCTCCTGAAAAAGTAGGGTCTGATTTCCTTGACCCACAATATCATACGCTGTTGTGTGTGCTGGTGTGCTGGTGCTCCTGGTTGGCCCCGACTCTTCTTCCCCTCGGCGGGTAGAATCTGAAGTGGGATGGCCTCGTTCGTGTCACCGCGCGGCGTGCACAGGAGATGGGGTCGATAGGCCTGTGAGAGGGAGGGGGGAGAAATGGGATCCTGGAAGGGGGGTATGAAGGAGGCGGTTGCGGTTGAAGGAAAGAAGAGAAAGGGGGAGGGGAGGGGAAGGGGGGTGCGGATGAATGGGTAGAGGGAGTGTGTGAGATAGCTGAGGAAAGAGAAGAAATGAGTGATTTGGGTGGGAGAGGGAGGGTAAGGAGGAAAGATTGTGGGGTTGAGGGGGGCGAGTAAGAGTAAGAGCGTAAGAGGGGGATCGGTGGGGAAAGGACCGAGATTCTCTTTTGCGTGTACGGTTCTTAACAGCCCCAAATGTTGCAGCCACTGCAAGAAAGCGCTGTGAGAACCGGACAGGGATAACCACCTAATGTGTGGGCTTCTGTGGATTGGAATGAAGGGCTCTAAGCATTGCAAGCTCACACCCCTCTGGGAGGGAAGGTGGTGGACCCTTTAGTATGCGGCAAGCGGCCCTGGATGATGTTAATTGGTAGTTGAAGCTTGGAAAGGGCACAAGGAGGAAGTTCACTCCAGTGCAATCACCTGGATCAGAGTGGGCTTGAAGGCACGCATGTAACTTACTTGGAAAAGCTCTGAGGGGGCTCCTAGGGCTCTGAAGGGGGCTCCTAGGGCTCTGAAGGGGGCTCCTAGGGCGTGATGGAAAGCAGTGGCCTTTCACTTGATCACCTTCATCACATGTCCTGCGCTGCTGTTTCGTGCTGCAAGAGAAAGTGAGCGCGAGCGCTATTGAGCAACGCATGTCCTTTCCGTGCTGTGGTGGTGGCTGTGCGTGTGAGCAGGTGGAGCTGGAGGCGGAGTGGCAGGTGGTGGCAGGGGAGGACAGCGCGCAGGTGGAGGTGCAGAAGCAGAGGGAGATGCGCTCCTTCGAGGCCTTCTATCCACGACCCTCTGCCATTCCTGAATCGTACGCACACGCTCGTCTCTTCTGCTTGCTTCGTGTTCAAGCAGTCCCGCACTCCCCTCTGTTACCCCTCCGAATGTTGCTGGGATCTGTCCGGCTCTCTTCCTCTCTCCCTTCTCCTTCCGCTCGTGCTAACAGTCTTCCTTGTTCTCTGTTTCGTTTCCTCTGCTCTCCATTCCTTGTCCCATCCCTCCCTCTCTCCCCTTCCCGCCTCCATCCTCCCTCTCCCTGCTCCCTCCCGGCCTTCTATTCTCCCGCCCTTTTCTCTTCCCACCCCCTCTCTCCCTCTCCCCTTCCCCCCCCTCCTTTCTCCCCCTCCCAGGCCGGCGGAGCCGCAGGATCCGTTGGAGGCGGTGCAGGACGACAGTCGCATCCCCGTCATCCCGCTCGTCTCCCTGGACGACGACGCTGCTGACGACCCCGACGCCTCCGCCTCCCCCGCTCCTCCGCCCGACTCCGCCGCAGCAGGCGCAACAGGGGAAGCCACAGCAGGTGCAGGAGCAGCGGGAGGAGCAGCAGCGGGGGGAGGAGTCGTGGGAGGCGGAGGGGAGCAAATGGTAGGAGCGCTACCAGGGCAAGGTCCGGGGGCGGGGTATCCCAGAAGACCGGATATGATGACAGTAGGCCCACACGCGCCAGCGGCAGTACCCCCGGCAGGTCTGGGAGCAGGAACGATGCCAAACCCGCCTGCCATGCACCCTGGACGCCCCCTCATGCATGGGGCCCCCATGCACGGCCCACCTATGCACGGCCCGCCTATGCACGGGCCGCCCATGCCTCAACATGGTGGCGGCATGGGGTGGAGAGGACCTCCTCCGGGCATGCAGCATGAGGGGCCCATGGGCCATCCCATGGGCCCTCCTCCCTGGAACGTGCCCAGAGGGGGTGATGGCGGTGGTGGTGGTGGTGGCGGCGGCGGCAGAGGCATGGGGAATGCTGGGTTTGCAGGTTCGCCTGGGGCTGCGGGAGGAAGGGTGATGAAAGGAGGCATGGGAGGTGAATCGGGTGTGTCTGCACGGGGTCTGGGGAGTGGTGGGAGCCGTGAGGGACAGACGGGAGGAGGAGGAAGAGGTGGGGGGCGGGGCGGGGTAGGGGGAGGAGGAGAAGGAGGAGGAAGAGGAGGAGGGGGGAGAGGAGGAGGAGGAGCGGGAGTTCCAGCGGCTGAGATAGCAGCGGCAGCAGCAGCAGCTGTGGCATCTCTGTCGGATTCGGGGACAGTGGATGAGGAGCTATTGGCAAAGACCATTGCGGCGCTCACAGCGTCACAGAGTGCAGCAGGAGTGGGCGCTGCAGCAGCTCGTAACGGGCCAGAACAGGGAGGAGCAGCAGCGGCAGCAGTAGCGGCGGCGGCAGCGGCGGCAGCAGCAGCAGCAGGAGGAGACGCAGGAGGGCCAGGAACACGGGTTTCAGTGCAAGGGAGCTCGAAAGAAACCGCAGGGCCGTTCCGGCCGCCTCCCACGGATAGCATGGGCCGGGGAATGGACGATTTCTCTCTGCGGGACAACGCCTTTGGTCATCCCGGCTCCATGCCTAGAGAAAACGGCTTCAGCCCGGGTTTCGGTTCTGGTGCTGGCAGTGCTACTATGGGAGAAGCCGGGCCTCCAATGCGACCCCCAGGGCCGCATTCCGGACCCCCTCGCGGGTTTCCTCCGCATGCAGGCCCTCCGCCTGGTCCCGGCGGCCCCCCTCCCCGGCCCAGCGGCCCTGCAGGCCCCCCTGGACCCATGCCCATGGGTGGCGCAGGCGGACCCATGGGCGCTGTAGCAGCAGGAGAGGGAGGAGCAGGAGCGGGAGTAGGAGCGGAAGGAGGAGGAGGAGGAGGAGGAGGGGGGGCGCCTATGGGGCAGGCTGGTCCCATGGGACCTGGGGGCCTTCGTGGGGGCCCTGGGGGACCCGGGGGTCCTGGGGGCCCTGGGGGACCGTTTGGTCCGGGCGGACCGGGTGGCGTGGGCGGAAGACCTTCAGGGCCAGGCGGGCCGCCCTTCCGATCACCCTTCCCACCCAACGGGCCCGGCCCAGGACCATTCCCCATGGGGCCCCCTGGACCCGCCGGCATGCCTCCCGGCCCTCCCCCATTCCCGGGACCCGGGGGCCCAGGGGGACCAGGGGGTCCGGGTGGATTCAGAGGACGAGGGGGAAGGGGTCCGCCAGGGCCGAGGGGAATGGGGTTTATGGGTGGGCCCAGGGGTCGGCCGGATGGGCCGCCGCCGCAATTTCATGGGGGACCTCCTCTGCCTGCTCCTCCCCGCGGCCCTATGAACGGGCCCCCCACGCCCTTTGGCGCGGACGAAGGTCCGTTTCCCCCTTTCAGTGAGCCTGGTAAGGGTCCTATGCCCCGCCACATGCCCCCCCGCATGGGGCCTGGTCCTGGCCCGAATGCTGGCCCAAACTTCGGCCCTAACATGCCCCCCGAATTTGGTCCCAACATCGGCCCAGGTGGCGGCAACATCGGCCCAGGTGGCGGCAACATCGGCCCAGGTGGTGGCAACATGGGTCCAGGTGGCAACATGGGTTCTGGGACGGGCATGAGTCCAGGGCACGGCATGGGACCTGGTGGGGCTAAATTCGGACCTGGTGGGCCGGGGGGCCTTCCCCCTGCTGCCCACATGCGCCCTTCTCCATCCGATCCGCTCAGTGCTGCGGATGGGCCCATGCGTGGACCCCATGGGACGTGGCAAGGCAGGGAGGGCGGTGGTGGCAGAGCGGGAGGGGTGGGTGAGGGGAACGATGGAGAGGGGGGTGATAGGGGAGGAGCAGCGCAGGGGGGAGGGGCGGCGGCAGCAGCGGCAGGAGGAGGAGCAGGCGGAGGGGGGAGCAGCAGCAGGGATGGATCAGCAAGGGAAGCTGCTGGGCGTGGTGGTGATGCCGAGGCGGATGGGCGGATAGAGAGATTTGAGCGAGGAGCTGGTATGGACAAGGAGAACGGCGATGCAGGAGGCACTCCAGATGCAGGAGCAGCAGGAGCAGGAGCGGGCATGTACAGGTCTGGGGTGAAACCGTCTCTCCAGTGGGTGACCAAGGTTGAAAAGGTGCCTGTTGGGGCTCCCATGGGCGCGGGTACAGAACCGGGAGCAGCAGCAGGCGCAGCAGAAGGGCTGTTGCAGCAAGGGCCAGGGGGGACGCAAGGCTCGTCAGCAGCAGTGGCAGGCGCAGCAGGGACAGCAGGGGCAGCAGGAGCAGCGGGGCAAGGAGGAGGGATCCCGGGACCACAGAGTCACATGTCTGCCATCACACCATCCAATGGCCCATCCACTGGCCCTCCCAATGGCCCTTCAAATAGGGGCCCCAGCGGCGCTCCCAGCGGCCCGGTCAGCAGCTCCGTCCCTGGTGCTGCGGATGTGCCTGCTGCTTCCCCCGGCGCTCAAGGACCCCTGGGCCCCCCCAATGGCCCTCCAGGCCCCCCTGGGCCCCAAGGCTGGGTGGGTGGGGCGCCGTTAAATGGCATGGGCGGGCCTGTTCCCCCGCCCTTCCATGGGGGGAGGGGGGGAGGCGGAATGGGAGGGGGCGGGATGGGCGGAGGGGGGATGGGAGGGAGAGGGATGGGAGGAGGGATGGGCGCAGGGGGCATTGGTGGAGGTGGCATGGGCGGAGGGGGAATGGGCGGAGGGGGAATGGGCGGAGGTGGCATGGGCGGAGGGGGCATGGGCGGAGGGGGCATGGGCGGAGGGGGCATGGGCGGAGGGGGAATGGGCGGAGGGGGAATGGGCGGAGGGGGAATGGGCGGAGGGGGAATGGGCGGGGGCGGCATGGGTGGGGGGGGCATGGGTGGAGGGGGCATGGGCGGGGGGGGCATGGGTGGAGGGGGAATGGGCGGAGGAGGCATGGGCGGAGGGGGAATGGGGGGAGGTGGCATGGGCGGAGGGGGCATGGGCGGAGGGGGAATGGGCGGAGGAGGTATGGGCGGAGGGGGCATGGGCGGCCCATTCCCCCGGGCCCCCCCTGGCGGGCCAGGCTTTGGGGAAGGGCCCTCGGGACCCCCGTTTGGGGAGTTTGACAAGCAGGGTGGCGGAGGAGGGTGGGGAAGGGGAGGCCCAGGGGGAGGGGGAGGGAGGGGGCGAAGGCGGTGCCTGTATTTCAACACTCCGTCAGGGTGCAGGAATGGCCCCCGGTGCACCTTCCTGCACGAAGGCCCGGGACCCGAGGGATTTGTGGGCGGCGGTAGAGGCGGGGGAGGCGACTGGTGTGGCGGGGAATGGGGTGGTGGAGAGTGGGGGGGAGGTGAATGGGGAGGTGGTGGGGGAGGCGGGATGATGGGGGGAGGTGGGGGTGGACGTGGCGGGGGGATGATGGGGCCGGGGGGGAGAGGAGGGTGGATGGGGGGTGGAGGGCGAGGGGGGATGATGGGGAGAGGTGGGGGAAGGGGCGGGCGGATGGATGAGAATGGGGGGGACATTGCCATGGGTGGGGGGGATGAGGGAAGCATGGGCGGGAATATGGGGGGAACTGGAGGGCCTGGGGGTATGGTTGGGGGAAGTATGAATGGGGGAAATTCGGGTGGAGCAGGGGGTATGGGCAGAGGTGGGAGTATGGGCGGAGGGGGCAATATGGGAGGGGGCAATATGGGAGGAGGGGGTATGGGAGGAGGGAACATGGGCGGAGGGGGAAGCATGGGGGGAGGGGGAAATATGGGCGGAGGGGGAAGCATGGGCGGAGGGGGAAGCATGGGCGGTGGGGGAAATATGGGCGGAGGGGGAAGCATGGGCGGAGGTGGAAATATGGGTGGAGGGGGAAGCACAGGCGGAGGGGGAAGCATGGGCGGAGGGGGAAACATGGGTGGAGGGGGAAGCATGGGCGGAGGAGGAAACATGGGCGGAGGGGGAAATATGGGTGGAGGGGGTTTTATGGGAGGGGGGGACTTTGGAGGAGGTATGGGTGGAGAATGGAATGAAGGGAATTGGGAGGGTGAGAACTGGGGAAATGCTGCTGCCATGGGTGGTAGGGAAGGCGGTAGGGCGATGATGGAAGGGGGCATGGCAGCAGGGCAGGGCGGTGCAGGCAATGGCAGCAGAGACAGCATGATGGGCAGTGCTGCTGGTGCTGTGGATGGTGGGGGTGGTGGAGGAAGAGGAGGGCGAGGAGGGGGAGCGGGGCGGGGAGGGGACTTGAACTATAACTGATGCTGCTGTTGCTGGAGGAGCATTGTGTGTACGCGCTTTAAGGTACGGCCTTGTGCCTGCTCACTGCGGCCCATGTCTGTGCTCCATGCACATGCACATGCACACATGTCACTGCGTCCTTCCTCCCTGCGCCATGCACCACAAGCACATCACTGCAGTCACTGTTCCCACCTGTGCTGCCACCATGTTTCTCCACATGCACGCCTCCAGCATCTCACACTCCCTTTACATGCAGCCTGCGCTGTACCATGGTAGCGCTGCCCATGCTCACAGGTCCATGCTCACAGGTCCATGCTCACAGGTCCATGCTCACAGGTCCATGCTCACAGGTGTGCACCTGCGCAGCTGCGCTCCTTGCTTTATTGCAGTAGCATCTCGGTGCCCACTGGTCCCACTTGCATCCCTGTGCATATTAATGCGCATGCATGTGCTCATACACATGCTCACTGTGTCTCACACAGAGAGCATCATGTCAACTTCTGCCGGCACGTGCATGTACATGCATGCAAAGGCACACCCATGCACTCACGTACATGCACTTGCTGCATGCGCACACACATGCCCGCACATGGTCCCACGTGCCTACACATGCATGCATGCACTCTCCCACCCGCATGCTCCACCCATCGCTATGGGGGTATCTCCTCTGCTCTAGCTGAGGGGGGGCCGGGGAGGGGGGGGAAGGAGGTGAGGGGAAGGAAGATGAAGGGTAGCGGGGGTGTGGAGTGGGAGGGGAGGTGAGGTGGAGTGGGATAGTGTATGATACTTGTATATTGCAATTCGCCAGGGACGGTGCATTTTTGTTTGCTCATATGCTGTGGTTGCTGGAACCCAAAGACTGCACGTACTCATTCCCAGCTTAATTCCGCACTCACGAGTGCCGTGCTCTTATCCTTGATGCATGTCAACTTAGAGTAGCTCAAGCACAACTAAAGCAAGCTGGTTGCATGGTGCGGGAAACTCAGAGCGGCAGCAGTCTCTCTGTACCCGCTATAACCTTCACAACCATCACAACCATGCTCCTGCCACCTAACAACCCCCCCTTTGTAACCTCCCGTGGTCTGCCTCCTTCTCAATCTCCCCACCACTTTCAGAATGCCATGTCGCAGTGAAGAGCACAGGAAGATCCAATGTGTGGTGCGCACAGGGCATGGTATTGCTGCCGCCACTCACAAACCTTCACGACCCCTTCTTTCCGTTATTATGAAATCAACCGAGCACCGCAGGCAGCAGCAGCAGCAAGTGCTGTAGGTGTTGTGTCGTGCACTGCTGTGTGCCGTGCCGTGCCGTCCCGTGCCGTGCCCCATCAACCGCTCCACCATGCTCGGCCACAGGAAATGCAGAAAGGCTTGATCTGGATGCAAGTGTGCGTGTACTTGGTTTGGGTTGCCTTGCTCTGCTTCCAAAGTGCCTTGCATGCTCACTCTTAGGCATCCTGGCTCTTCTCATCTGCCTGCTGGAACCTCATTGCAAGCTGCCGGGCAGCCTTGCCTGCAGAGCAGAGTGTGCCAGAGCCAGGCACCTGAGCTTACAATACGGTAGTGCATGCTTTGCACTGCTCTGCTCTGCGACGCTCTGCTCTGCGCTGCTATGCTGTGCTGTGTTCTGTGCGGAACTGTGCGCGAGTGTGTTGCGCTGCGTGATGCCACGTGGGGCTTGCCCATGAGCAGAGCGTGCAAGGGCATTGGTGTATCTTGTGTTTCTCACTTGCATAGCATGATGCACTCTGGGTGGCAACAGTGACTTGCATCGATTGGTGTATCGGTTTCCCTCAACAATGGGAAGGGCTGAAAAGAGGTGGTTTGTGGAGTGGATTGTGCGGCCGTGTTGTGTGTTTGTACCAGAGCTTATTTTTTAAATCATGATACCCTGATTTTTAGTAATGTTGACATGGAAACCCTGATCTTTAGTGCGGCTAATGGTAGATAAAAAATAAATTAAAAAAAAAACCCGAATTCGAAAACTTTAAAGCGAGCTTTAGCGAAAGAAGTTTTCGTGAATTCTGGGTGCAATGGAATGAGATAATAATGATTGCATTAGGTGTCTCTTACACGTGCAATTGAGCGAGCGAGCGAGAATTGCACTATCGAAACAAAACTGTACATTAAGCTAAAGTGTGAAAGTGGGGTGCGCTACGGGCCTAGCGCCGAGGCTGGGAATTGTCGAGGCGGAGGTCCGGAGCGCAGGTTACCAACCGAACCGTGAGGTTGGGTCGCATCGTGAACAGTGGCGGGAACAGTAGTCGAGGCGAGTGTCGCGAGTGGTAACGGTGTACTGTTGAGAGCTGTTGGCTGGAACAGTGGTGTACGCGCTGAGCAGTGCCCGTGCTAGGATTTGGGACACCCTGAGGCCTCAAGCAGGGCCCAAAATTGGTTTTGGGGCACCCTGCCATATCAGGGTCCCCTAGAGCCCTTTGCCTGACAGTCAGGGTGGAAATTTCTTTGCCCGGTGCTAATCAGCGTGTTTTTGCTAGTATCCTGTCTTCGTAAGGCTATTTATAGCAACACCCTGTTTGCCAGAGAAAATCTATATGCCACTTCTGCTTCCCCTACATGCAACCATGCATAACCCACCACTAACAAAACATTGCATCAGTCATTCTCGGGTCCCTCCTGGTGGTCTGCACTTGCAGTCGTGTCAGGGACTGGTGCAGGGTTAAACTGAGTATCGCTTGGGTTGCTGCTATTGAAGTCTCGGATTGGCCGCTCGTTTCTGTCGCCACGGAAGATGCGTGCGACCTCGAACCAGTCCACGGTGTACTCTAGGAGAGAGCAGCGCATGAGGTGTCCAAGTGATGTGTCTGAGATGCTTCCCCAGCCCCACAACTTGATAATGTTCTGCTTGCTAAACCCCCTCTCGCACTCCACCGTGCTCAAAGGCAGTAGCGACTGCTTGCCACAGGAGCATGATGTTGGGGTAGGAGCGCTACCACTGGTCGTCGCACAGAGTGTGGTGTGGTCGTCATAACTTCCGTGGTGAGGTCTGTTTTGTCGAGCTGATAGCGCGACAGTGACTGGTGGGGCCGGTTTTGTAACTATCTCGGGCTAGTGGCCAGATGGGCCATGTTGTACAGAAACGACACGAAGAAAGTTTGTTTCAGTGCATTTCAAAAAGTACCCTGACGAAACAAAGGAATTCTCGAGGAGGCCTGATTTTGAAAGTGTATTACAAAAAGTGCATTTTTACAGTCAGGGTCAATTGGTAAATACACTTACTGAATCAGGGCAATCCTGGAAAAGCGGCCCACAGCAAGGGTAGAAAGGGTAAAACACCCTTGAATTTTGGGCCCTGGCCTCAGGGCACTTATCTAAAAACTTAAAAAATGTCCTGATTTGTCAGGGCAAAATTTCAAAGCCTTCCTGTATGTTCACGGCTTCTACAGACATTGATCCTGACCTGTAAGGGCAAAAAAACCTGTGTTCAAGGTTCAGATTTCAACACAGACCAGACCAAACTCTGCTGAGCTGAGCAGAGCAAAACAGGCCAGAGAGTAGAGCAGCACATATACCATATGGCCCCAGATATAGGTGTGTCAGACTATAAATATGCTATGGTATAATGGGTAGGCTATAGTGGGGTAGCCAACATGGGGTACAACCCCTTTAGGTTTTGTACTTGTACCAACTCTCTCGATAGTTCACACTCATTCCTACTCGTTAATTCTTGACATGGTATCACACCAGTAGGTCTGTAGGACCGTTTTTTTTTCGGGCCCACCATTAACTAGTGATCGACTACGGTTACCACGTTACCCCATGCCCTGCCCTGCGTTGCGCTGTCAGCGCGCGCCCTGCCTTGCCCTGCCCTGCCCTGCGCGCACTGGCGCCCTGCCCTACGCCAGCGCCCTGCCATGCGCCAGCGCCCTGCCCTGCGTCCTGCTGCAGCCCGCGCCCTGCGGCAGCTGCACGTCGTGCACTGCTGCCCTGCGCGTCGTGCTCTGCTGCCCCGCGCGTCGCACCCTACAGCAGCCCGCGCGTCGTGCGCTGCTGCCCCGCGCGTCGCGCTCTGCTACAGCCCGCGCGTCGCGCCCTGCTGCCCTGCGCGTCCCGCCCTGCTGCAGCCAGTGCGCCGCGCCCTACTGCCCTCCAGAGCGCACGCCCTGCTGCCCGCGCCGCCCAAGTTGAGCCGCGCCTCCCGACACGATCCGCCCTTCTGCTCGTGCTACTACTGCTACTGGTGGAGGTGCTGCTAGGAGTGCTGGAGGTGCTGCAGCCTAGCCTCACGAGCCGCTCTGCTGCTCGTACTACTGCTGCTGCTACTCAAACTAGTGCCTTCACTTCGTACTGCCCTAGAGGTTGCGCTCCTCCTAGCTTGCCCGCCATGACTTAGCTTTGTAGTAGCGGTGGGAGTGGTGACGGCGGTGGTGGTAGGAGCGGGAGTCGTGGCGGCCGTAGTAGCAGTCATTGTGGAGCTGTGTGGTGTGGATTCTCTGGCGGTGGCCAGATGCAGCTAAGGCGGCATCCGACCCTTATGCCCCAGCAGCTTCGTGAGTGGCTTTACCAGCGTGGGACGTCTCCGAGTCCTGATCGATGTCAGTACGTCATTCGCACAGGTCGTCAAGCTGGCCAGACCTGTGGGACACTTGGTCACGCACAGTCCCGCTGCTTCTCCTATTAGACTGACTCTTGGCACGCAGAGTTTGGTGATGAGGCTGAGACCCCCCACTGTCTTGAGCTGCTTAGTTCGGGCGTTGATGTCATTGCTTTAGACTATGACGCCATCCTTACTGCCATGTATGTTTTGCCTGGTGGTACTGAGAGTGACTGTAACCTTTGTATGCAGTACGACCCCGGTATAGAGGTTGCTGCTCTAGGTGCTAGTGAGGCTGCTGCCTTAGGTGCTGGTGAGTCTGCTCTCTCAGGTACTGCGCTTGCTGAGGCCTTGCACACCTTCACGCTTGACTCAGGTGCTTCCCGATGCTTCTTCCGTGACAGTACCACACTCACACCACTCCTTGCACCTGTTGCAGTCTCTCTGGCTGTCCCCTCAAGGGGCCCAGTTCTTGCATGGTCCACCACTGTGCTTCCGTGCCCGGCGGTTCCGTCTGGCTCATTATCAGGTCTCCACCTCCCCTCGTTCTCCACGAACTTGGTGAGCAACGCCGTCCTCCAGGATCATTGGGTTGATACCTTTACTCCTAGAGGACGGCGTGTGGTGATCTGTACATGCTCCAGGACTGGCCGTCACCTGACCACGTTCACCCGTCGGCCAAGGTCGAGTCTTTACACACTAACGACTGTGTCTCCTTGGGTAGCTGCTATCGGTCAGATGTCTGCGTCAGCTCTGGTAGCCTCCCCCTGTGAGTGTCGCTCCATGTCACACCAGACTCTTCTCTGGCACCACGGCCTGGGTCACCCCTCCTTGCCATGTCTCCGTGGCATGCACCGTCGCCTCCTTCTGTCTGGTCTTCCCAAGTCTCTCCCTCCCCTCCCTGCCTCGCCTGCGCCGCCCTGCCTTCCTTGCGTCGAGGGGCGGTAGCGCGTCGCTCCTCACTCCTCCTTGTTTCCCCCAACAGAGGCTCCTCTGCAGACCCTCCACCTGGACGTGTGGGGCCCAGCCCGCGTTCGTGGACAGGGCGGTGAGCGGTAATTTCTGCTGGTTGTCGACGACTACTCGCATTACACCACGGTCTTCCCCTTGCGCACCACAGGTGAGGTCCCTGCTGTCCTCATCCCTTCGATCCGAGCAGTTCGTCTCCTGCTCCGCTGTAGGTTCCGCGAGGACCTTCCTGTCCTCCGTCTGCACTCTGACAGAGGTGGTGAGTTCACCTCCGACCTCTTGCGGGCCTTTTGTCAGGGGGAGGGCATCAAGCAGACGTTCACGCTTCCGGCTCCACAGAGCAAAATGGGGTTGCTGAGCGCCGCATTGGCTTAGACATAGAGGTCGCTCGTACCTCCTTGATTCATGCGGCGGCTCCCCATTTTCTGTGGCCGTTTGCGGTCCGATACTCCGTGCAGCAGCTCAACCTCTGGCCTCGTATCTCCTTGCCGGAGACCTCGCCCACACTGCGTTGGCGGGGGAGGTTGGCGATGCGTCGCGTTTCCAAGTCTGGGGCTCTTGCGCCCTTATCCGCGATATGTCCGCGGACAAGCTCTTCTCCCGCACCATTCCCTGTATCTTCCTTGGCTTTGTCCGTGACGCGCCTGGCCTTCTACCGTCTTTTCCCCTACCGCACAGCCCCTCTTCCTCACCCGTCGCTTTTTCTCGCTCTAGGTCCCCCTCCGGTAGACCCCCTCACCCTTCAGGGTCCT